GCAAACAGGCATAAAAGAATTTCTCTTAAAAAAATGGTAAAGCACTTAAAATGCCCATCATCACTGCAGATGTCTAAAAAAAAACAACAGAATTATAAAAATAAATCTAATATGTAACAACCAATAATTTAGTTCTCTTAATCTAGGAGGCAGAGAAAGATATAGTACTGGAGTCTATAAATAAACTCAATTGTAAACACGGCACAGTTGTAATAGGTAAAAGATAAGGGAAAGACCTGGTTATCTAATTGTCAGTTTGGTGATTCAATTTATTTCTACTCATAATCAGTGAGCGCTCCTGGACACGGACACCAGTGTGGGGATTGCCGAGAAGAAGGGTGTGGGGGAAGGTGGCAGCGGGTTTAGGGAAGATAAATGGTGATGGGAAGAGACTGGATGTGGGATGTGAATACACAAACAATGTACAAGTGATGTGTTGTGGATTTGTGCACCTAAAACTTGTAAGATTTTGTGAACCAGTGTCACCCCAATAAATTCAATAAAAAGGGGAAAAAAATGTTCAATGAACACCCATTATTTCTAGAACCTAAACTAGGCATGTACGGAAACAAAGATGTAAAGGACAGTATGTCCTCCAGCTGTCCAAACTTTAGTAAGAGGTGGAGAAACATTGACAACGAGTATACTAAAAGGGCAGAGAGTGGTAAATGCTGAGATATATCAATATAAATAAAGGAATTATATTCAAAAAGGAATCCTTTATAAGCAAAAAATATAATGATTGCTGGAAAATAAGAAGGCTTCATGTAAGTAAAATTTAGGACCAGCCGGCATGGCTTACTAGTTGAGCATCAACCTACGAACCTAGAGGTCACAGTTCGATTCCTGGTCAGGACACAGGCCTGGGTTGCGGGCTCAATCCCCAGGAGGGGCCATGCAGGAGGCAGCTGATCAGTGATGGGAAGACCTCAAAAGTGAGCAAATAAATGACTTCAGCATATCTATCATAATTAAAATCATAATTCTGGAAACAACATAGAGTATGAAGAAAAGTAAATGAACTGGGAGAGCAGGAAGCAGAAAAGAAAGCGAGGCAAGGTTAATGCATAAACAGGGCAGTGACAATATCCACATTGGAAAGGAAGGGTGGAATAGAAGAGATATAACAGAGATGGAACTGACCAAAAACTTAAGTAAATACTCACTGAATTTGAAAATCAAGAGGAAGAGAATTAGATAATAAATACCTAAGTATCTTAATGTAGGAAGCAGAACAACTGATGTTACAATCAGCAAGGCTAGGGAATGACAAAGAAGCCACTACTTGGGAATACATAGGTACTTCGACTCAGGATATTTTGATTTTGAAGTATTTGTTGGGGGAAGGTAAGACTGCACACCTCCAGATGTAAATATAAGGCTGGTACCTGGAGATCTCGGAATTAGAGATAAACAACTGAGAATATATATATCATCTTTCAAGAGGAAAAGCAATGTTACACAAGAAGTCCGGTTTTTCACAATCTCAAGTACCAACTTAATTCACTTACTGGTCTATAACTACCTCTGCCATTATATAATCACAGAACTGAAGGTCTGCTTTTAGAGTACAACTTCGCCATCTGGTGGCAAAAATAATGAATACAGGTTTATATATAGTCATCATTTCAAAAGTTGCAAGGACCCCTGGTCATTTGACTTACAGTGCAGTTTCCAACAAAGTATTATGGGGAAAGGGTATTTCATTCTACATTTCTATCATAACTACTATCTCTCTTTTCCTTTTCACTCTGGCCACTAATATATTCAAGCTATAAAACTAGAAGAAGTATTGTTAAAACAAATCTTCCCACTCACCAAGGCCTTCCCACTTCTTCAAAATGTACTCATTGCATAACCCAATACATACCTCAGTGTAGATTGCAGTTAAGTAACTATGAAATTAAATGTATTAGTAAAATTCATGTTGCCAAATTTCTTGCTTTCAACAACTAATAGCTGAGTTTGCTTAAGTAACGGAAATGGGATTTTTTTTGAAACTAGATATAAGCTTTGAACAGACTGGTCAAAAGAAGAATACAGAACCTCTATAAATATACCCTAACATATAACAATCAATATACACAATTAGAATGGCATTTCAAATCAGTAGGAAGAAAAGATTGCTCACTCAATAAATATGGTGGAACAAGGGCGAAACATGTGTAAACTATAATAAATGGGATGTAGGAATGATTCTCTCTGATCATTGATGTTTCTCTCTCCCTCTCCCTTCCTCTCCTTCTAAAATCAATAAAAAGTAATTTTGAAATAATAATAAATAAAATAAATAACTACTTACTCTCTAAGGCAGGAGGTGGCAACCTTTTCTATAAAGAGTCAGAGAGTAAATATTTTAGGTTATGAGAACCATTTGGCCTCTTATAACTAATACTCAACTCTGGAGTTGTAGCTGAGTCTATGTAGCCGTAGACAATAAGTAAATAAATAGTTGTGGCTGTGTTCCAATAAAACTTTATTTACAAAAACACAGGGGGGCAAGCCAGATAGAGCCCCAGGAACATAGTTTGTAGACCCCTTGCTCCAGGGGAAAGAATTCAAAGGGTTTGTAGGTACATGCCTAATAAACTACTATGGAATCTGCATTTAAAATAACAAAACAAATGCTCTTTTTGTTTATAGTAAGGGGATGGAGTTATTCTGAAAGAAAAAGTATCTTCCAGAAGTCGATATAAATTATAACCAATTCCATTTTCTAGATGTAACTTCCAAATTTGCTATTAAACTCTAACTCCTTCCCTGGCTAGAGGTATTTCTTATAAACAAGAAGAGCTGTTGGTTTTATTTATGTGAGCTTCAGAAAGAAAGAACATGGCCCAGCTGGTGTGGCTCAGTGGTTGAGCATCGACCTATGAACCAGGAAGTCATGGTTGGATTCCCAGTCAGGGTACATGCCCCAGGTTGCAGGCTCAATCCCCAGTGTGGGGCATGCAGGAGGCAGCTAATCAATGATTCTCTCTCACCGTTGATGTTTCTAAGCCTCTCTCCATTCCTCTCTGAAATCAATAAAAATATATTTAGAAAAAGAAAGGAAGGACATAAGTATAGAATACATTGAGTCATTAAAGTATGCATCTATTAGTAATGGCAGCCAGGGGCAGTAGGCAAAAAGAAAAAAAAAAGTAACTACATAAATTGCTTCCCCACAATGGTCAAATTGTACTGTTTATTCAGGCTAGTACTGTGTCAAAGAAACAAGCATTAAGAGGTACTGTTGGAGGATATATATTTGTTCTTAACACCACATTAAGAATTCTTCAAAGATCGGTGCTATATTTCTACTGTCCTACAATGATGAATTAATTACTCATAAATTCGTTGGACTTGTTTTTAACATCCACAACTTCCTAATGATACGCATTCTAGAGCTTTAAAAACTATTAGGTGACCCAGTATTTTAGTGTTTCCTTTTAGTCTTCCTAAATCTACCTCTCTATCCTCCAAAGGAGACGATCGAGTGTAGCTATCCTATTTTGAAGAATGAGCCAATGTTATCTATTTTTATGAAGTCGTTCATTTAAAATCCTACCTCCACTGGTTAACATCATTTTCTTCCTCTGAGCTCATATGCCTTGGCCATTATGGCTGCCACTTTACAGATACTGCCACTGTCCCAACCAGCACTGCTTCATCATTCACCATTCCCTACAGAGACACTTCTTGTTATTATAGTTGTAATACAGAAACATGCTTGGCCAGAGAGTTAACAAGCCCCGCCCCACTCCCCAGGAACAGACCTAGGCCAATCACAATGGAGAACTGTGGGTAAATGCTCCAGCCTCCTGGCCCATCATGTGGAATAACTCCGAGGTCATGATACCCTGTCTCCAAGAAGTCCCAGTAAGACTGAGACTCCATCACCAAGGGGTGTAATCTGCTTTCACGTGCTCCCAGTATTGTGTTCTCTCTCTTCATTGGATCATTTTCCACTCCCCTACACAGGTGGTTTCAGACATTGCCACCCAAATGCACTATCTGGCCTCAAACCTGTGTGCGCTCAAGTTCTCAATCTCAGATGATCTTCCCACCTCGAAATTCTTGGGTTCCTGAGATTCTGCACTGAGATGGGTTCTAGTACCCCAGCCATGAAATCACCATGGCCTTTTCCCAAGACAGAATTACATTGTCTGTTTTACTTTTGCAAAAAAACAAAACAAAACAAAACAAAACAAAAAACAACCAAAAACCTGGTGCGTCATCATTTTGTTATTCTTCCAAGACATTAGCAACATATCTGTGTGACGGCTCTAGGCACCATCTGAAGGGACCCCCACTTATCTTCCCTGTTTTAACCCCGTTCAGAACCACCACCCTGTAAGTACAATTCACGTTTGTTTTCCCACAAATGCATGACTTCCTATTTGTTCACCCAGAAACATACCTGCCATTCCTGAATAATACATACAGTAGAAACCAGACTTCCCTTTAAAATTTTTAATTCGAAAATAGAAATATGGGCTACAAAAACAATCTTCCCTTGCAAATCTTTTCATTCTTCTCCTCCCAAAGGTAGGAAATAGAAGAACCATAAACACCATTTTTAAAAGTCTAACCCTTTTGTCAAGGAAAAGGCCATAAAATTGAGCCAAAATAGTAATATCAGAGTTAGGTCACAGATACATCAAATTCATAAAACCCTTTTATCTGTATTTTCTTCTTCATTCTCATTGCCCTTACCCCCCGTTTCTTCCCTCTGACAAATAACCTCTTATCTACGTTCCCTGTTTTATTTCACTTCTTTTTTTCTGGGAAAACCTGATAACCTGACACTGTTCAAACCTCATCCAACCTCCCACTGTTCAAACCTGTCACAGCTGAAGTCCTAGACATCACTTCCATCATGGATACAAAAACATACGAACATTGACATTCCACGTAGACAACTGGTTGCCTACACATTTCATGTATTTTCATTTTCCGCTTGAAATAAAAGATTAAAAAGAATGATGTTTTACCTAAAGATGAAGCAAAATGTTTACCTGTCTGACGCTACGTCACTGGCAATTTGGTGCTTCACTCCTGACCCATTTTTAATAGAATCCTGTCTGGTGAGCCCATGAGATCGACTTTTCTCCGCGGCAGGTACAGATAAGTCACCTGAGGGTCCGTGGAACTGGGCCTGCTGCTGCAGTTTTGCCTTCTTCTCCTGAGGCGCCTCCTCGTTCCGCAGTCCTCGGAGAGCCTTCGGGTCAGGCTGCTGCGGGGGGTTAGGTCCGCTATTATAGAACCAGGCTCCTGACTTAGTGAGGATCTCTTGCTGTTTTCGGCACAAATTGCATACCCACATAACCTGCGCGGGAATACAGAGGGGAAGGAAATGAGTGTTTCCAAAAGCTGTCAACAAACAAAGAGAGAGACAATTCAAGACGACAAGAAAAGTCTATCCTGATTCTTCCTGGAGTTAAAACGTAATCCAGATTGACGGCTGCCGTTAGTGAACTCAGGCGTCCTTTCTTTGGAAAGTTTGCCAGAATAATTATATGAAATAGATAATGGTTCCTGGCAGTGGAAATACCAAACAAATTAATAGTTGTTTATTGTATTCTCTTTTTTTTTTTAATTTAAATTAGGAGCATCGTGCAGGATATGGAAAATGGATTTTGAGGCTGCACAGATTTGGGGTTAAAGACCAACTCAGAGATTAGAAACTTTGCAAACCTCAACAAGGTACTCATATCAACTAAATATTCATATCAATAAAAGTTTCCTAACTGTTAATATATGGATCTAAGGATGATTATACTAACTTTCCTGTGGTGTTTTGAGAACTGAATATTTAAAATAATGTATATAAAATATACAGATGATGTATCATAGAATTGTACACTTGAAACCTATGTAATTTTATTAACCAACTAGAGCCCAGTGCACAAAATTCATGCACGAGGGGGTGTGTTCTTCAGCCCAGCCTGCACCCTCTCTGATCTGGGATCCCTCCAGGGATGTTTGACTGCCCGTTTAGCCCTCTCACAATCCAGGACTGCTGGCTCCCAACTGCTCACCTGTCTGCCTTCTTGATTGCCCCTAACCACTTCTGCCTACCAGTCTGATCACCCCCTAACCACTCCCCTGCCTGCCTGACTGATGCCTAACTGTTCCCCTGCCAGCCTGGTCCCCCACAACTGCCTTTCCCTGCAGGCCCAGTCACCCCAACTTTCCTCCTCTGCTGCCCTGGCCATCCCTAACTGCCCTCCCCTGCAGGCTTGATCGCCCCCAACTGCCCTCCCTTGCAAGCCTGGTCCCTCCCAACTGCTCTCCCCTGCTGGCCATCTTGTGGTGGCCATCTTATGTCCACATGGGGGCAGTCATCTTTGACCACATGGGGGCAGCCATCTTGTGTGTTGGAGTGATGGTCAATTTGCAAATTATTTTTTCGTTAGCTATGATAGAGGGATGGTGCACGGATGGGGGCTGGCTGGTCTGCCCTGAAGGGGATTCCAAATCAGGGTGGGGGTTCCCTTGAGGCAGAGGGCAGCCTGGACGAGGAGCCTGTGGTAATTTGCAGGCTGGCCACACACCCCGGCGACCCAAGTGAAGACCCTGGTATCTGGGATTTATTTATCTTCTATAATTGAAACTTGATAGCCTTGAGCGGAGCCAAGCCTCCTGCATGCTCTGTGGCCACGGCCATTTTTGTTGGAATTTATTTATCTTCTATAATTAAAACTTTGTATCCTTAAGCGGAGGCCAAGGCAGGCTGGGACAGGTGGAAAGCTTGGTTTCCTCCATTGCTGAGGAAACCCAAGCATCCTGCTCTCTCTGTGGTTGCAACCATCTTGATTGTGTTAATTTGCATACTCACTCCTGATTGGCCGGTGGGCAAGGCTTGTGTGGCGGAGGTATGGTCAATTTGCATATTACTCTTATTAGACAGTATGTCATCCCAATAAATTTAAGAAAATAAAAAAGATAAATAAATGTCTAACACAATGCCTAATATATGTTGGACTTGCAGTAGATTACTATATTAGTATATTGAGTTAATCTTCTATCACCAATTATATTATAGGCTTCCTAAGGAGATTTTGTTTAAGTAGCTCCTAATCTATATATATATAAAAGCCAAGTGACTGGAACAACCAGAATGACCAATGACTATGAAGTGCACTATGGCCAGCTAACCAGCCCGACTGGAGGTGGGACCGGCTGGCCAACTTCCTGCGGCCTCTTCCCATGGCTGGCCTGGCTCTGATAGACCCTGACTGGGGCAGGCCACCAGACCCCACGCATGCACAAGTTCGTGCACTGGGCCTCTAGTAGCTAAATAAAGCTAGGAACATTGTTGATCTTCAATAAAAACCTATTAATTGCTCATAGTTTCTAGTCAGGCATTTTTAGGTGCACAGTTCAACAGTGTTAAGTACATTCACACTATTGTGAAACAGATTTCCAAAACTTGTTCAGTTTGCAACACTCAAAATCTATACCATTTTAAAGCATATCCCCTTTTCTCCCAAACCCAATACCCTGATAACCACCATTCTACACTTTATTTTTTGATATAGATATGCTTTTCAGATTCCAGGAAAATCTTCACCCTCCTCTAAAATTAATTTTCAATTAATCAAAAAATAAAATAAAATCACATGTTCATAAAATAAAAGGTGAGTTCATATTTCAAGTGAGAGACTCTGATGCTTGCTTTATATCAAATACTTAATTTTACATAACTCTCCATATTGCTAAACATTTCCTTATGTTTAAATAAATTATGATAACATAATCATTAAAAGAAAAATTCAACATAGTATTTTCAACTGATACAAGGATATTTTTGTAAAATACCATTAAAAATTTTTGTTTAATTGCCCATTACTCCAGTTCATATTGTTTGTGTAATTCCATATTATACAACATTGTATTTAATCACTTTTATTATTTTGTTCTCTTTTGGATTGTATATACATTTCTTTTTCCCATACTGAAACTTAAAGCTCATTGCAGGCAAGATTAATATCATCTCATGCATAATAAGACTTATAAATCATAGAACAGTAAGACCTTCTACAATTACTAACTTGAATTTATGTGAAGCCCTTCTGGAGGACAAATAACATCTGATGCTATTACATTAAGATTTATGTTTCTTAGATTCTTGAAAGAATTAGTCATCAATAATGACAATGTATTTGACTATTTATTTTTTCTAACTAAACAGGGAAATGTTTTAAAGGAAAATACTAAAATATCACTCAATTTTTCAAAGAATACCTCATAGTTCAGATTTCTTTTGGTTTGAATACACATGAAATAAAAATATATCTGTGTTTTCAAAACACAAATTTCAACCAAAATCTTCAGCCTTTTAATGCCATCTTGTGACAAATTTAGGTACTGCAGATCTTTTTAAAAGAGAAAGATACGTTAAATATAGAGCCACAAAATAATGTTCAAATAAATTAGGTTTGGGTTTCAACTTTTCTGTTTATTTTAAACAATTACTATTCATGATACAGTGATAATCCGTGCTACATGATTCCATGATATAAATTTATCTAGAATAAGTAACACTCAATATTCAAGAACAACAACCTTTCCTGCCTGGTAATTGACAATGAAAAGGAAATGATGAAAGTTTGGGAGGCAGACAATTAGCCAATCATGATCATCTGCAGAAACCACCTATTGCTGCTTTATTATTATTTTTTAATATATTTTATTGATTTTTCACAGAGAGGAAGAGAGAGGGATAGAGAGTTAGAAACATCAATGAGAGAGAGAGACATCGATCAGCTGCCTCTTGCACACCCCTACTGGGGATGTGCCCGCAACCAAGATACATGCCCTTGACCGGAATCGAACCCGGGACCTTTCAGTCCGCAGGCCGATGCTCTATCCACTGAGCCAAACCGGTCCCGGCTGCTGCTTTATTATTTATCATAAGGTAAGCAGGTAACTTAATCTCTTCTAGAGCAGATTCTCAAAGAATATCCCTGGAACAGCAGCATCAGCATCACTTGGGAACTTATTAGATGTGCAAACCTACTGAAAATCAGAAATTCTGAGTGGGACTCAGAAATATGTTTTGGTTTTGGTTTCCTTGTTTGTGTATTTGTTGTAGGTTTGGGAGGGGGCTTGCCAAATCCTACAGGTAATTCTGACACTTGATGAAGTTAGGAACCACTGGTTATGGCAGACATTTCCAGCTCAGTGTGAAGTGAGTTTCAAGTGTGTCCTCAGAGTAGCTAAATAGGTCAACGGAGATCATGATCGGCTTTGCCAATTTACCTCAGTGAACTAGGTAAATCTATTCCTGTGTAGTCCAAAATGAGAATAAGACCTGGAAATGCTCTGAGCTTTGTTTTCCTCATCTGTTAACACCCAGCGGATAGTAATTCTATATAATAAAAGCCTAGGTGGCGTCACGAGAGAGCATCTTCACAAGACGGCTGCCACAAGATGGCCAACAGGGGAGGGCAGTTGGGGGTGATCAGGCCAGCAGGGGAGGGCAGTTGGGGGTGATCAGGCCAGCAGGAGAGGGCAGTTGGGGATGATCAGGCCAGCAGGGGAGCAGTTAGGGGGGGATCTGGCTGGCAGGCAGAAGCGGTTAGGGACAATCAGGCAGGCGGGCAGGCAGGCAGGTGAGCGGTTAGGAGCCAGCTATCCCAGATTGTGAGAAGAATGTCCATCTGCTGGTTTAGGGATCGGGCCTTAACTGGCAGACAGACATCCCTCAAGGGGGTCCCAGATTGGAGAGGGTGCAGGCCAGGTTGAGGGACACTCTCCTCCCCCATGCATGAATCTTGTGCACCAGGCCTCTAGTGTAAAATAAATGAGCATAAGGCATGATATATGATTTGCATTAAAGACTCTCTATGATTAATACTTACTCTTCCCATATGCTCTGGGCTATCCATATTGGGTGCTCTTTTTCTCATATCCTAACACCCAATTAACTTTGTTTACTTCTTTCCTGTCTTTAATGGTTTGTTAATCTTTAAAGCTCAGGAAGCCTGAATCTACCCCACGCAGTACAAGGGACTGATACTTTCACTTGAAGCACTTATATACATAGCAACTTAACTTATAAATTGGCGATACCGAACTATGTCTCACAAATACCAGCACATACACATGTTCTGAGATGACTTTTCACTAACAGGCTATGACATAATTAATGCCTATCAGAGGTAAATTATGCATCAACAGAACAAAATTTAACTTATATGGGGAAAAAACATCAGGAGTTTTATTAATGGAACTCTTTATTTCACCAATTAGAGGGGGTAATCTAAAGGTGGGGAGGGAAAAAAGTCCCCCAACCCAATTTATAAGACTGGAAAGATCTTA